CCTTCAGGGTGATGCCAGGTTCCATTTGAAATTCATTTACAAACTGCTTGGGCACAGAAGCCATTGTCTTCAGAAATCTTGGTGTAGTTGAATTGACAGTTACTGTGTTGTGACCTGGAGTTCACCATTAAAAGGGTCACCCAAGCAGTGTCATGGAGTTTATTTGGTTATTAATGATTGTTGGCACATCCTATGCAATATATCTAAATTGAATTATGGTACCAGATAAAATTATAGATGGATATGAAGCTTGTGTATCATCCATTATCATGTGTAATCAATAAACGATTTACTATCCTCTTGAATGACAACTGTATGGATTTGGGACTGGCAGAGCTTTGGACTTTCCCTACCCACCACCCCTGATAATGTTGAATACTTCTATCACAATTCAAGTTCAAAGCTTTGCCAGAGAATAAAAACCAGCTGCTGGCTAATGCCACCCCAAAAGTCAACAGATTTAGAGTATTTGGGAGATGTTTTTTAAAATTGGCCAGCACCAGTAAGAAATTCTTATTCCTACACAAAATAGGCTTACATTAAAGGAAAACTGCAGTTTCCTTTGTTCTGGTTGGGTGGGCCTTTATAGAGGTTTATAGATTTTAACCACACTAGTTGCCTATTTGGAAACAAAAATTATGGGCATGTTTAGGAACCATACTGCTTACAAACATAACTGCAGTTTTCCTTTAAACGTGGCACAAGATCACACAACCATCCTAAAATGTTAATTGTATGGAAAATGATTTCTAAATCTTTTAAGTTACATACTATCCAGTCATTGTTATTTGTATATAGGTTCTTTTGAGCCCTCCCCTTTGATATTTCAGTGCCATTGTACTTACCTAGTAGCATAGAGATTTGTTTATCACTAGGACTGTATTTCATCCCATGGGTGTGTTACTTGGAAGTCTGGGGGCGGGGTGGTGATGGGTGGGAGGTGGAGTGGAGGCGGGTGGGAAAGCATGGATGGATGATACAGTTCCATGGGTTTGATATTGGCTGAGTTTGCAATGGCAGGTGGAACCTTAACTATTGAGGGAGTTTGCAGATACCTCAGGATTCCTGACAATGCCTTTAAAGATCCAGGAGAGATGTTCAGCTACTAGGAACTGCTAGCAAGCATAGCGCGAATGGCTCCGAGCTCAGACACTCTACAGCTGAGAGTAGACACTTGTGGTATGTGGAGTACAGATAAGCCAGGGGCAGGCCACGGCACGCTCCATGAAAGCTAGGAGGGAGTGAATTTTCAGTGACCATCGCAAGGAAGGAGGCAGACAAAAGTAAGGCACACCTGACTCTTAGGACTAGCAGTCAGAACCAGGAGGAAAGGTTTTATTGCTATGCTGGTAGGTAAGAACAGATTTTACTTACATCCATATAGTTATGTAAAATCCAGTTTTTTGTTATATGTCCTTAATATATTGAGCCAAAACTAGTCCAGTTAAGCTGAACTTGGTTTTTCTGGAGATGGATTGTTTTAAATTGACACCCTAGCCTTGGTGGATAACAATTGAAGGAAATGAGTGCTTTAACTGTATCTACTATGAATAATAAATTTTTGGCCCTTAATTTTATTTCCTACTTCTTTGACCCATTTCCTTAAAACAATGGCTCAAAGTAATGCATTAGACTCTTCCCCTAAGTGATGGTGGGAGGGTGGGTGGACCATTAATTGGGGGGTGGGGGACTTAGCCTGAGATGGGACTTTATCTCAGAAAAGCTAGTTCTAAAGGTTGTTTGCTTTTCTAGGGAGGAGTCTGGTACTACAGGCTTATCGACACGTCTTAAACAGAAACTCATCTGTCCAAGCTCATGGCTAAAAGGTAAATTTTTATAAAGCAATGGTAAGCAAATGATTGGTATTGCCAAAATAGAATGAATCTGCCTCAGAACCAAAGACTTGCTAATCTGATCTAATAGAAATCTGTTAATAAAGCAACTGGGTTCCCAGTAAAAAGAATGGGAATCTTTCATCTGCTTGTGTAAATACTTCATAACTTTTTTTTTCTTTTTGCAGGAACATCCTTATGAGGACGGCCTTTATCTGAGCCAATGTGTACTTCATTTTCACTGCCATGCAGTTTTCGTTGGCTGTGTTGCAGCTTGAATTAATCATTCAGTTTTATGAATGGGCTTTTTAAATAAAATGCTTTTAACTTTGTTTCTTACTTTCACTTTCTCCTTTTCGTGATACGTAGGGTAAACTTGACACTGCACCCCTCAAGTTTGAGAATGGGAAATAGAGGAGGTAATGATATACCAGGTGTCTGCTAAACCAGAAAACTTACTAGCAGGATCAATCTAAAGGAGCAGGGCCTCGTGTAAAAAGTCATTGCATTTTGAACCTAGCAGTTAAGGTAAATGTTTTAAATCACGGGCTGGTGTTCAGATTAAGAAGGAAGGATTGGGTTGTGGGAACTGAAATCTGAGGCTGGGCTCTCACTGCAGGGCTGAATTGTGACCGGTAGAAGCAAGCTGGTAACTGTTGCTCCACTTGAGAACACATCTTTTTTTCTAATTCTCCTGGCAAGAGAGAAGTTGTAAAAGCCAGAGCTGTCTCACGAGAGCTATGCTTATCTGTTACATTCTGGAGGGGCATAGTGGATGTCCTCTTTGGTGAACAAGTATGTATTGGCCAGGTATCTTAGGCAATTTTAGCAAAGCCTTAACGTTTTTCCCTGCTATTTTTAGGTCATCCTGCCTCAATTTTAATCAGCTAAGGCGGGGTGGGGTAGCAAGTACTTTTTAGGTCATCCTGCCTCAATTTTAATCAGCTAAGGCGGGGTGGGGTAGCAAGTACATTATCTTGCTGCTTAATCTCCATTTGTGACAAAGTTGCCTGATGTGGTTTTTCACATGGTGGTTTGGTGGGATAGGACAACTCGGGCTACCAGAGTTTACTAAGTACATTTTTATTTTTTTAATTTCCTTGGATGACTGGTTAATAAGAGCTAAAAGCATTCTTAATTGAAGAACTTCTAACCCTGTCCAGTGTGGCTTGGTTGGCTGTTGTCTCATACACCAAAAGGTGGTTAGATTCCATTCCCAGTCAAGGTACATGCCTGGGTTGCACGCTCAGTCCCAGGTAGGGGGGCATACAGGAAGCAGCCAATCAATGTTATACTCACATTGACATTTCTCTCCTAAAAATAAAAACAATTGTATTACTTTCTGTGTACTTTGATGGATGCTTTACCGATACAAGTTAGAGGAAATAGACTCAGAGGAAGATAATTACCCTGTGCTAGTTCTTCGAAATAGGCTCACACCCAGTTTACTCTCCAAAAGCCTGTTCCCCCTGCTTTAAGCACATGCCAAACAATGTATATGATGGTCTTCGTGGTAATGTGTACATATGCATGGCATTGTCCTCACTATGTCTCCTTCTTTGAACCAGAGCTTATTTGGTGCTCAGTGAATTGTTGCCTTTATGAGCTGGATTAGAATGAAAACTGATGTCCCTTAGGGCAGCCTGCAGTCGCCAACCAGTGATCCATGAGGTCTGAAAGGTTTGCAACCACTGACTTAGGGGAGTAATAAGTTTCTGAACAGTTAACCCCAGGCCCTGCCCTCTACAACTTGGTCCCACATGTTCAATTTTTTGAAAAAACAAAAGTTGACAAGTGTGGACTCTTCAGATCTATTAGGAATAGAAAGCATTACATTACTTTCAATTCCCTAAACTTGGACATGTTTTTCATAATGTGCAGATAGAAGATTTCACATCTTTGACCACTTTTCTGCTTTTGTCTCACAACTGTAGTGTCACTACCAGAATCTGGAAGTAGCCTTTGCTGGTTTGGCTCAGTGGATAGAGCGTCGGCCTGCGGACTCAAGGGTCCCAGGTTCAATTCCAGTCAAGGGCATATGCCCGGGTTGCAGGCTCAATCCCCAGTGGGGGGCATGCAGGAGGCAGCTGATCAATGATTCTCATCAATGATGTTTCCCTTCCTCTCTGAAATCAATAAAAATATATTTAAAAAATAAAAATCTGGAAGTAAGGTTTCCCCATTGGAATGGAGCTAGTGAAGTTGAATAGAAGTATAAATAGAAGCAAAATACCAAAATAAGTTTGTGTAATTCAGGGCCTGAGAAGATTGGGAACTACCCAACTCCAAGGAGATGAAATTGTGTCAGGGAGAACTTGGATATGACATCTGAAAATTACTGTTTCAAGAAAATTATATTGAAAAACATTATATTGAAAAAATACACTCAAATAAAAGGCCCTTGGTCTTCAAGGATCTAGAAAAGGGTTGGGAACAAGAAAGTGTCCAACATAACTAGGGAGATAGAAAATTTCACAGGCCCTGGCTGGGTTGGGAGTTTAATCCCCAGTCAGGACACATGCAGGAATCAACCAATAAATGCATGGGTTGGTGGAATGGTGGGTTGATGTTTCCCGTTCTAAAATCAAAATTTTTTTAAAAGGAAAAGTTCACCAAAATGCATATGGTGCTCTACTGTGGAGCAGGTTTTACTCAGACTTGGGTGTGAAATCCCCTAAAACTTAGACGTCCAAATTCTCATTCCAATCAAGAGTTGCTCACTCGGTCGTCTTAGGGAGCTCTGGAATATTCCCCCGCCGGGCTGAGGGAGTCCTATGGAAATAGGCAGGAGGAGGGAAATAGAAAAAAGGCCTGTGGGTATTCTAGGCTCCTGTGTTCCAAAAATTGAGAAAGGGAAAGCCTAAATAAGCCTCAGGGACCTTGCATAGAAGGTCTAGCCAGCTTTGGCAGCAATCTCAGCTCTATAAATAGGGGGCCACCAGGGAGGGTGGAGTTCCTCAGATCATCCACGGCCCCTGGCTCTAAAAAGGATGAAGGTGGTAGATCGCATACTGCTAGAGCCAAAATTGTGCGTGCCACTCTTACACAGAGCTGTAGGGGAAAGAAATGAGCTTGGCAGGATTTCCTCCCCCCAAAACCAAGAAAGGAGCTCTGAGGAGAGCTCCGCTTCATCGCCCTCCCTGGAGAAGGAAGACACAGTGGAAAACTATTTCTGTAGAGTGCTTTATAAACCAAAGCTCAAACAAGAGGTGGAGGTTGGAGACCTGGGGAGCTGAATCACAGAAAGATTTCAGCCTTCCCCTCACATACTTGTCTCACAGCAAGCCTCATTGAACACACCTTGGACCTAACATGTCAGGTTTTTCACTGTTGTCCTCTTCTGGGCCTCAGGGTCGGGGAGTTCCTTTATCAGAAGGGAATGAAGGGAATCTCCATCACCGGTCCGCCCAGTTGGGCCAGCTCAGTCTGAGGCTTCCATCTTGCTTCCCCGGGGCACAAGGAATATGGCCCCATCAGCAGCCTGTTGCAACGCATACTCTTCAGGGGAGTAGTTGTTGCCAGCTTCATCCCGAAGGTGCTGGAAAATGTCACGGTACAGCTCGGCCAGCTGTTGGCGCATCACCTCTAGGGTCCTGTCGGCCTCCCCACGGGCCCTGAGCAGCCGCTCCCGCTCACTGCCCAGCCGCTCCAGCTCCCGCTCCAGCTGCACGATGGTTTCCAGCTTTCTCTTGCGACAGTTCTGGGCAGCCACCTTATTCTTGCCCCGCCGTCGAATGTCCCGGACTAGTGCCAGCTGGCTTTCTGTCAGCGGGTACCGTGCCAACAGCTCATTAAAGTCATCTACCGGCAAGTTGACAATCTTGTCCGTAGGGAAGGGGATCTTCATGGCCAGGGCCCGACGCTCATCCCGACTCCCTGCCTCCCCCCGTGCAGTGGGCTTGGCTCGCACAGGGCCTGAAGAGGGCTCTACAGCTGAGGGGGTCTCAGCAGGTGGCAAGGCATAATTGGGGTGGGCCAAGGAGTTGGGCATAAGTGAGTAGGGGTACTCCACCGGATACATCTCTACATACTCGCTACGCCGCCGACCAGCCTCTGTCCCCTCCAGCTCAAGAGATTCAGCATCACTATAGTTAAGGGATAATCCTGAGTCGGATTCTGGGTCTTCTTGAGGTTTGGGTGGCTCCGCTGGCAGCCCAATATCTAGGAGGGCTAAGGGGTCTGGGAGGGGTTCACTGAGCAGGCCTGAGAGGCTCAGTGGTTTGGAGACTGGGATGGCCATGTTGCCATAAGAATATGGGGGGTCTGGGACATGAGTTGAGGATACTGGGAGCTCATAAGGTGGTGGAGGAAGGGGGAAGCCAGCATCTGGGTGGATTGAGCAAGGACAGTAAGTTGGGAGTGGTGGGGGCCCAGGGTATGGGGCTGGGGCTGGAGGCTCAAACGACGGCTCACTTGGAGCATTTAGGCCCTGCAAGAAAAGACATAAAAAGAGATTTGGAGACAGGCTGAGGAAGAGAACCAGCTCTCTCAGGACCAAGCTCGGTCCTTCTGAAAGACCCAGTGAGATAACAACAAAGGAACAAAAAGGCACGAAAAATCATTGAAAGCGTCTTGTGAAGTTGCAATGCAAGTCTTCCAAGAAGAAAGCAGCTTAAACAGGAATGGATATCACTGAGAACGGACTTCAGAAAGAACTAACATATGGAATCTCCTCCTCAGGAATTCTTACTGGGTTGAAATGGCTCATGTCTCTTTATTTCTTTCAGGAAGACAAGGAGTTGTTATTCAAGATGACCCCTCAGAACGCTTTCCTGCTGTGGTTATCTAGGGTCAAAGGGTCAAGTTCAGGTCCTGGCCATGCCCTGGGTGCCCAGCAGAGGGAGCTGCTGTGTGGGAGCAGGGCTTAGGGCAGATCCCGGGGGCCCATGCGTAGTGGTAGGGGAGAGAAAGGGTCAGGCGCAGAGCCAGTTCCATCTCACCCAGCTCCGGAGTGGGCAGCTGTGTCACCCTGGGGGCTAAGAGGCACCTTGGGGAGCCCATGCCAGCTCTACCCTCCGCTCTTCAGTCCCTCTGCCCCTACCCAGGTGCAGAGAGGAGGAGAGAACATGCTAGAAACAGGGCCCCCAAACCACGTTGGGGAGCCACCCTGCTCTAGCCCAGCTGGGGACAAAGACCTTATTGTTAGGCCAACAGATACCCCTTTGTCCACTAGCAGGAGGAGAGGACCCTGGCATAGACTGACCCCCCTTCCTGAGGCCCGTGAACTACTGCTCAGCTACCTGGGGGAAAGGGGCCCAGCTGCTGAGGGCAGGGGGAGAAAATGAAGGGAGAAGACGAGCAGGATTGGAGGAAAGAGAGGTCAGAATAAAAGAAGGTGAGGAAGGGAAGGCGGGGCCGGAGGTGGGGTGGAGAGATGTGTGCAGAGTGGCTGCTGAGAGCATACATTCCCCAGTCAAATCCTTCCTTCCCCACCACTCCTGTCCCCTGCTCTTCCACACCCCTTCCCCTTAATGTTCTGGTCTAACATCCAGATCTCCCTTCTACTTCTGCCCTTCCTTTTCCAGTGCCTGGAACATTTCCAGCTTGAGACCCTGAGCCTTCCTTGTTCCAGCCCCCTGTCTCAGTCCCAGCGAGACTCTCTGCTTCCTACTCTTCC